CGAACTGCAGAACTGCAGTCAGCTGAAGTAGCCTGCAGTGCTGCATTTAACCACTGCGCCACCTCGGCTCTTTGAAGACACTGCAACTAGACAACAATACTAATCATAGTGCAATGTTTGTCATTTGAACTTTCAGGGATGTTGTCTTGATTATTTTAAAGTTTTATAAACTATATCTTAGAAACCTGATTTTTGGAACACACTGGGATCTAATTAGTGCAGCTTCGATTTCAATAAAACATTGCGCATCAAAGAATCATGAAAGAAAGAAACAATTAAAGACATGGGACTAGCATCCATAGTCTGTCTGTATACATGGAAAATATGCAAACTTTGAATTTTATGCATTTGAGCAGAATGAACTAACAGATACCACTGTCAGCAAATCAACTCATCTAGATGTAGATCTTTTTGGTAGGTAATTTTAATTTGTAATTTGTAATTTTAATAGATTTGTATGCCGCCCAATCACGGAGGACTCCGGGCGGCTTACATAAAAGCAATTAAAATATTAAAAAGATTAAAAACACAAAACAATACAGTTTAAAACAGAAAAACACAACATGCACTCAGTTATAATGGGGCTGAAGTTCAATCAAGCTCAACAGCCCCAGGCCTGCAGGAACAGCCAGGTCTTAACAGACTTACGGAAGGCCAGGAGAGCGGGGAGGGTCCGGATCTCAGGGGGGGGTAGCTCGTTCCAGTATGTTAAGTCAGTATGTTGTCTCAGCTGACTACTCACAAATTCTTAATTGCCTAAGTCAAATATTCCATGAACATTGTTTTGGACTGAAGACTTTTATCTTTATATTAGCAAAATATTTTGCTAACATAGGGAAATATTTTGATCACACTCACTCAAGCTAACTTCTCTCACAAGGCTGCTGCAAGGGTTAAAGGAAGAGAAAACGTACTTCCTGAAAGAGAAATGTCATGTTCAGAGACTTACTTTTTCTAATCTGTACAAGTTTCTTTACTGGTCTCATAATATTAATGTTTTTTTGTTTCTTTTCTGATTTCAGTTAGGATTTTTTTTATACAGTGCAACATATACAGATTGAAATATATATTCATTTTCCTCTTAAGTAAAAGAGCACTCTGTTTGTTTTATTATTTTTAGTCTTATTGTAATCATTTAAAAAAAATGAAATGTTCATTATCTATTAACAGATAATTACTAAGGTTATGAAATTACAGAGAGTCGTCAACTTAAAACTATTTATTTAGTGACTGTTCAAAGTTACAACAGCAATGAACAAAGTGACTTACAACCAGTTTTCACACTTATGACCACTGCAGCATCCCCATGGTCACATGATCAAAATCCACACACTTGGCAACTTATGATAGTTGAATTTGTGCTGGGGTCATGTGATCACCATTTGTAACCTTTCCAGCTGGCTTCTGACAAGCAAAGCCAATGGCGAAAGTCAGATTCCCTTAATGGCAGTGATTCATTTAACAATTGCGGCAAAAAAGGTCGCAAAATGGGGCAAGACCTATTTACCATCTTAAGCAATATAAACTTTTGGCTTAATTGTGGTTGTAGGACTACACTACTTGTATTATAGAGAATATTTCAATGCTTTGATAAATCAAAAAAACACTTCACTTAAAATGCTCAATCCTAAGTATTGAGTTTTTGTTTGCATTTAACAGAATAACAGTTGGAAAGGACCTAGGAGGTCTTCAAGTACAACCCTCTGCTGAAGCAGAAAATCCTACACCATTTCAGAAAATAGTTGTCCAATCTCTTTAAAACCTCCGTTCACAACTTCTGGAGGTAAGTTGTTCCACTGATTAATTGTTCTGCAGGAAATTCCTCCTCAGTTCTAGGTTGGTTCTCTCCTTCATTAGTTTCCATCCATTGCTTCTTGTCCTGCTTTCAGGTGCTTTGGAGAATAGATTGAAACCCCTCTTCATTGTGGCAGCCCCTCAAATATTAGAGCATTGCTATCATGTCACTCCTAGTCCTTCTTTTATGTTTATGTTTGAATGTTTAATAAATTTATAGGCCGCCCAATCCCGGAGGACTCCGGGTGGCTTACAACAATACAATTAAAATAAAAGTTGAAAAACACAAAAACATAGTTAAAAAAGACCACAACATACACCCAGTCTAATCGGGGCTGGAACTCAAATGTGAGTTCAACAGCCCGGGGCCTGCCGGAATAGCAAGGTCTTAAGAGCCTTACGGAAGGCCATGAGGGTGGGTAGGGTCCGGATCTCTGGGGGCAGTTTATTCCAGAGGGTCGGAGCGGCTACAGAGAAGGCCCTCCCCCGGGTAGTTGCCAGCCNTAATTGGCAGGAGGCGGTCTCTCAAGTACTCATAAATAACTAAATAACTAAATAACTAAATAAATATGTAAACTGGCTGCCACACTTGTTTTAACAGAAACTGAATGGCCATCAGGCAATCATTCATAGGCCATATTAGGTAGTCCTCCTAATGTATAATTTTCTCTAGAAAGCACAGCAATAGGTGTTTTTAAACTATTGAGCAGCACGTAAAAAAGTGATAGCATCAACATATAATCAATCTTGGCAATTGCAGAAGCAAAACTAGTTCGTAAAAAAAAAAGTTAATAACATAGGGGAACAGAGCAAGTGCATCTTTAGCCATATCCAATTTCTCCCAAGAATGTCTGGGAAAAAAATGTTTTTAGTAAACTACTTAACTTCTTTGTAATGATCCTCAACTGTAATGATATGTCCCCCAGTGGCTCTGGCATTGGAAATGATGGTATCAGCATCCAAAGGTTTGATTGTAAATGGATCAATTACCCGGATATAGATCCCTAGAAAAAAGCAAAATACTAATGAGAAGAATGAAAGAAAGAATTCTATTAAAATTGCTGATCAAGTCGACATATAATTGGATTTATAATTTCCAAAGCTCCAATGTCTGATACCTTGTTTGGCTAGTTCATCAGCAGCTGAAAGGGCTTCATGAAGTGTGACACCTGCTCCAATAACAACTACTCTGTCAGCATCACTTATACGAACAACCTATAAAAAGTAATCAATAGATATAAGCATTTTTATAAGGTGCCTAGCCCACTAACATGCTAATCTAAAATCATACAGAATAAGGGAAGTGGGATCTGAGAACTAATGTATTTTAAGCAAGTATGAAGAAAATATCAGAATAGCCAGAATTCCACAGTTGACACGTACCTTCCCTAAGGCACTTGCTTGGAAACACCATTACCAAGAATCCTCCATATTATCAAAGATTACTTAAAGAGGACTGATGGTTCACAACTGATAGCAATAGCAGTTAGCAATAGCAGTTAGACTTATATACCGCTTCATAGGGCTTTCAGCCCTCTCTAAGCGGTTTACAGAGTCAGCATATCGCCCCCACCGTCTGGGTCCTAATTTCACCCTCCGCGGAATGATGGAAGGCAGAGTCAACC